CAGACAACACATGTCCAGGAACTCACTGTCGTGCTCTGGTCTGCATTGCAGTGCTTGGTAGGAGGCTGAGCCATCTTTTCCATAGGATGGCCCTGGCACCCCCCATGGGCATCCTCAGGGTGGAAAGAGGAGCTGCTATCAGGTGACAGTGTTGTTTTGGGTTGGTCTTGAGCGATTCTCCCCCTGAAGTAAGCTTACCCCTTGTTCTTACCAGGCTCTGGGACAAACCTCCAAAAGAAATGACAGGGAACATAAAAAGCTACAATACTTTCAAGAGTCCAAGCTGGCATTTTCTCCAGCCAGAGGTTCCTAAATGACTTTGAAAACCTTGCTCTAAATGTTTTCTTTAGGACCATTTCATTAAATTGAAGGGTTTAAAATGTTTTTTTATAAAAATTGCTGAGGCTCTGAAAGCAATACCTTGGGCACATGCAAGTGGAGCATTCGAAAAACAACCACTAAAAGTGACACCAAATGGAGTCAATTGTGTACTTCAGAGCAGGCTTAGGGCACCTGGGCTCATCAACTTCCACTCCTCATTATATTTAGCACCAAACCCCTCCTGAGGCCCTGTGGATGAGGAAGAAGAGGTCTGGGGGTGCCCTCTCCCATGCAGCCCCCTCAGTACTGGGTTACTGCACTATTTTTTTTATTTTTATTTTTAAATATGCAGCAGCACAATATAAAATCCATTTAGAAACTGGGCTTGCTTGTTGCTATTAAAGAATCCATCAGTGAATTTCATTTTTTATTGGTTCAGTTACAAAACTCACAGCAGCGGTGTTGTGTTTGTTTTTCCAGAGCACCAATAAAAATCTTTTTGATTAAAAAAATTGAGAGAAAGAAAGAGAAAGAATGAAAAAAGAAAGAAATTAAAAGCTGACCTGGTATAACCCATGTGAGCACTGAACCTCAGCAGTGTTATATAAAAAGAACAAAGAGGCAGCAAAGCCAATAGCTGAGCAAATGCTTGACTGCGGCTGCAACCAGCAATGATCAAAACTTGTTTATGACAGCATAAAAATGAGCAAGATCAAGCTCTGCTGTATTAAACCAGGTTCAGTTATAGACTGATTACTGAAGAAATATGGCAGATGTAGAGCCCCAGGAAGTAAACAAAAGCTCGCTCTCTGCTTTTCCATGGTTCCACTCTTGCCACATACAACCAGTACAGTTGGTTCCAGGTATTCTGGATGACACAATGCCATATTGCTTCTCAGCTGTCTCTTTACAGATTTTTCTTCCCCTACAAACAAATATCTCAAAATTTATTGCCTTTGTGATTTGCAGCTCCATCTGGCCTACACCCAATCTTGAAACCAAGAGGAAAATTGTGAGCAATAGATACTGTAAAGACAAATATCCCAAAGACAACAGCCACATTGCATCGGGTGCTATGCAGAAAAATTGTGGATACATCCTAAGCCAGGGTCATTGCTTTCTGCAGGAACACAGACAGCAAAGTGATGATAGCTCAGCTGCACTGTGGCTGGGACCTAGGTTTCCAAAATGATGCCTATGAAGAGCAAATCTAAGAAGCTTGATTTTCATTTCTTTGGACTGATTGCAATTCTATGCAAATCCAAATATACTGTAATTGCATTATTATGATATAGCTGCAACAGGAAATCAATTTTTTTTCCTCTTCAGAGTGAAAACAAACATGAACACATGTACTTGATACTACAAGTCTAGGGATTTAGAGTTAGGAGAGCTGCTTTAAAAAAAAAAACGCAAGTGGGGTGGGGGATAACCAAGAATTTTTAACATTTCATTTGTGTTTCTAATTTTTTTTTGTAAGTCCTAGAAAAGTAAGAAAATAAATTTTATTTTAGTCATAGCTGTCAGATATTATCTGTTACAGTTTATGAGATGTTAATAAGCTGCTCAGCTTCGCTGATCATTAAGAGCTGTTGATTCTCGGCTGGCCCATGACAGCACAGGTGCTGGTGCGAATGCATGGCTTTTGGTGTGAATTCCACAGACATCCATGTAAACCAGAAACATCCTCACAGGCAAGAAAGAGGGGAACAAAGTTAGGCTGACTAAAACAGCTGTTCAAAACTGGCATTAATATTTGCAAACACTCTGTCAACTCTGGCTGTCTTTAGAAATGATCTTCAGAGGACCACAAATCCTGTGAAGAGTCAGATGGCATATGTGTTGCTAAGCCTCTCGGACACTTTCAAACATCTTTGCTCTACAGCTTGTCTAACTTTGTGAAGAAATTAAGGCCAGCTGTCTTTGAATATATACTTATCAATGTCTGCATGGGTGGATACTGATAGTGCATTTACCAAGCCCAGCTTAATGCACTTGGGAAACAAGACATTAAATAATCCCTAGGAGAGAGCTGAGCAAGAGCATCCACTCTGGGCATTACTGCGCTTCGCAGTCACGCTCCAGCTTAGTCTGTATATGCAAACGCTTGGACTTCAGATAAGGAGGTGTTAACTGAGTGGGAAGTTTGTCGCAGTCAAAAATCTTCTAACGCCTGGGAAAAGACACCATGCATAAGAGCAGGACCCCATGTTCTTTTTCTGTCTTCCTGTGGGTGGGAAACAAATAGACTGAGCAAATAGCACGCAGAAGGAAATCTTTGGGGATTAAAACATGATATGCTGTGTTTCAAACAGGGTTTTAGATAGGCCTCATGGAAGAAGGAATGTCTCCCTCACAGCCTCTATGTTATCCTGGTGCTTTTCTTGCTTTCTTCTTTCACCAGGACTTCTCTCCAAATGAAAGTTCATTTGCCACTGGGATGCATGTACAGAAAACAGTAAAATCAAACAACTTTTTGCTGGGGCCTTTTTTTTTTTTTTTCCACCCTGTCGGCAGAACAGATCTTAAACGGACACAAGAAAACTATTGTGCTAAGACTGTTCCCAGAACAGGAAAAGTCCTCTCCCATCCTCATTAACATTGTAAAAAGTATTTCAGGCTTGCAAGTGCTATAGGAAAGGTTTGACAGACATGACCGTTGACTCAAAATATTAGGAGGGATTGGAAAACAACTGGCTGAAGCTTTCTGAACATCAGCGTGACTGCCAAAGAAAGCATCAGCACCCATTACTTCATGAACCAACATGTGATTTGCAGAAACGCTTACGTGACTTAAAAAGTCTAAATCCCACTTTCAGAGGGGGCTTAGTCATCACAAAGTGATTTGAACATCTCAGTACATTTGAGATTCTGACTATTGAAAGTGCAACTTTCAGTGGAAACGAACATTTGATCACAAATTTCAAAGTATGAGATTCCTACTACACAGACTGTTGGGGGAGATCAAAGCCCTTGTGAAATACCTTTCCTCCAGCACTACCTCTACACCTGCACTGAAGCCAGAAAGAGCTACAACAGCAGTATCCTACATCTGCTAAGAAAGGCTGAGGTGGTACACATGGAGATATCTATCTGGCAGCAACATCAGAGAGTGTTGCTGGGAAGAGCTATTCTGTTATAGGAAGTGGGCAACTTCCCACATGTGTATGAAGTTGCTAAAACACAAACTTCTCACCTGTAAAAACACAATATACCTTCTGAGGCTTGCATGCAAAATTCTTAAAAAATAAAAACAAAAAAAAACAACAAACCCACAACAAAGAAGGACATTTACATAATGCAGAAACATTCTTGTTTCAGTGAGCAAATAGAGACTGAGAAGCTTCAGTGCACATTGGCCAGATGGGATTGCAGCTTTCTTTCATTTTGTTAGAACCATGCAACAAGGATGTATTGCATCAGGCCTAGTCTAGGAGACTGTTTCTCTAACATGGAATCTACACTTGTTTGAAACAATCTTCTCACTTTTCGCCATCATAATCACAAGAGATTAACCACCCATCTGCTGCGAATGGGTGAAGCTGCTACATCAACATTTTATCAAAGGCACAACAAGACTTGTATTCTGGCAGATATTATAATAAAAAGTGCTGCAAAAAGTAACAATAAGCAGAGAAATTTGTGTCCTTACAGCATAGGATCTGGTGTATTAGTTTGGCACAGGTAGAAAAACTGACCTGGAAATATGACCTAAGGACTCCGGAAGGCAGAATAGAGGGGGAAAAAATCACATCTCTTGCCTCGCTCTTTTGATCCAGTCAGTCCAAGTTACTTGTAGCTTTCTGGGCCACAAATGCACAAAGTTGGCTCATGTCTGGCTTTCCATCCACCAGCACGCCCTCAAGTCCTTCTTTGCATGGGTGTTCACAATGAGTTCTTCTCCCAGTCTGTACCCATATCTAGGATTGCCACAATCATATGCAACGACCTGCACTTGGCCTTGTGAAACTCATTAGGTTCTCATGGGCCCACTTTTTGAACACATCCAGGTCCATTTGGATGGCATTCCTTCCTTCTATTGTGTCAAGTGCACCAATCAGCTTGGCTTCATCAGCAAACTTGCAGAGGATGCACTCAATCCCACTGTCTATGCCATTAATAAAGATACTGAAGAGCACAGGTCCCAAGACAGACCCCTGAAGTTCACCACCCATCACGAGCCTCCAACTGGACATAGATTAGTTGATCACAATCCTCAGTCTGCAGCCATCCAGCCAATTCCTTAACCACCTGAACAGTCAACCCTTCAAATCTGTATCTTTCTAATTCTGTGATAAATTTAGTCATAATAATCATATATCAAGCTTCAGAATAAACATTTTGCCATTTAGAAGCCTTAGATCAGCACAGCTAAAGTGGTATTTGTGTTTAATGGGCACACAGTAAAGTGCTGCTTAATTAACCAGCACCAAACCTAACCTGAGTGTTTCAAAATATGATTAAAGTTCAAGAGTTCTCTCTATGAAAATTTCCATTTTATTAACTAAAAAAGAGTGAGTTTTCAGGTTTTCCCACAAAGGAAAGTTTATTTATGATGATATATTACCTGATACAAACTGAAGTGCCAAATACTGAAACGCTTTTTTTTTTTTTTTTTTTTTTAGTGAGTTAGGCTGTTTGCTTGGACTACTCAAGATGAACAACACAAATCCTCCTACCTCAGTCCATTTGGAAGATGTCTGGAGATGTCTTGCCTTATAACCGCCTCATGTTATCACTCACATCTTCATGAGCCTCTGCAGAAACAAGAAGAAACAAAACCAAAGAGACCATGAAGAAACCTTGAAAGAGAAACAGAAAGACTGTGTGATAACTAGAATAGCTAGCAATACAAATGAGGCATCTGAAAATTAGCTAAGATCATACTGATGGTCTTCCTAAGAAGAGCTATGGCACAATTAGGGAAATGATGCAAATGATTTGCTAAGCATCACCATCATGACTTACAAAACCATGGAAAAGTACTGTTCCAAAACGTCAAAGCATTGTTTTCATCTATAATGCCAGCTGAGGAAGCCAGTGAATTCATTCCTGCTTACCAATAAACTTTTATTTAGTTTTCCACTGTGAGATTAGATCATGCAGGAAAAGTTCAAAATAATACCGTAAAAAGAGATGAACTCACACAAGATTTTCATTGGTCATTGGAAAAAAAATTTAAAAATCTGTCAAACTACTGAAAATGAATTAACTTTGGATACTTGAATACATAAACATTTCTGCAAAAATGCTTCAGGACAAAAAAATTTATTTACCGTGCCCTCCAGGGAAATGTACCTCATCAATCCCTTGTCACTAAATCACTTGCTAACAGTTATGGTGTGAGGTAAAGTGCTGTTTAGTCCCAATGAGTTTAAAGACCTTGATGCCTAATGAATTCTCCTATTCATACTGGAGGTTACATCTGTACTAGGCTCTTTTAACAACCTGGTGCTGAAAAGATCTGATGTAATTTTATTATTTACTAAACAGGTGTCAGTAATCATATCCAATGATGTCAGGCAGCTTGATGGGAATTTGCTTTAAGATGACTATCAGAGGGAGACAGCACTCCATAAACATAAAAAGGCTCTCCTTTAGGTAGCCAGAGCCTCACAGCACATTCACTGGCTGGAGCGAAGGCTAGTTAGTGTCGTCATGAACAAGAGCAATTACTGAGGGTAGTTCACAGTGCCAGAGTTAATTCTGAAAACCTCATCAACAAAGTTAAGACTTGTTGAGCTCTTGGGGTTTGCTTCACAGAGGATCCTTTGCTCGTGCAACTGAGCACCACAGCAAGCACATAACCTGGGTCCTTCCCTCCACCAAAACACGCCTGTGGCTATCCTCCCATGCGCTCAGCAGAGCTGCACCCTTTCAATAGAACACATGGGCACATCTCATTCACCCTGGTTACAGAGGGGGAGTACAAAGGTTTTTTTGTTTGTTTGTTTGTTTTTATCATTAGGAGATAATGACAGAGCTGTCAGTGCTGCTGCTTCACTCCTGTAAACTAGCCTGTAGGCTCCCAGATTGTTTCTGAGTTACTTCTTGAGTAACTCATGACTCAATAAACTCATAAACCATGGCCACCCCTTCTGGGCAGGACAAATCCAAGCATGGGGCTGGAATTAAAATTGCTTTACATTTAGTAACTTGTGCAGCATTGATGTGCAGTGGGTTTGCAAAAGATTTTGGCTTTGCATCACCATTCCCTTGGAATAAGAGAAATTTGCGGCGAAAGACAGAAATGCCGTCTTCTGGCCAGTTGCAAGATGAGGCTCCTCAACTTGTAGAACTTATTTTCCTCCTAACTTGAATTTTATCTGGGCTATTAAATATTTCTACCAGATTTGCTCTTAAGACAAAAAAAAAAAAAAAAAAAAGTCTGTTTTAGCTAATTGAAACTTTTCACAGAAAACAAACAAAAAAATTCTACAACATAAGGAAGATTTTGGCTGAAAAACTTTCTTGTTTCAGCCTCACACTGAAAACTTTCCAGGTTAGACTAAAAATGTTTAGTCTTTAGTGACAATGTTAAATTTTCCATGGAAAAAAGAAATGTTTCCCAGAGATGTTAATAAGCTACAAGCTGTATTCCTCATTGCTGGAAATGTATTTGTTTGACTATACAATTTCAGGCACCAATTTTGCATTCATATGTCTAAAGTTTTAACAGCAGATTGCTTATTTTCATCAGTGCAGTAAAACAGCATCAAAAATCTACACTGCAGATATACAGTCATCCTAATTTGTTCAGCTTGATATGTAAATTAAAGGCATTGTAAAGTGGCATTTGAATTCACAGCAAACTTGCAACCAGTTATTTGATCTGCACATAGTCAGTCTACTTTGGCTCTATTAGATGTTGGTAGTTTGCTCTAACACACTTTCCAAAACATGTTATATTAAATCACACACTTCTTCAGATTTGAAGAGTAGATCATAAGCTTGGAAGTTTATCTACTTTTTCCAGCTACATCAGTTGCATCTAATAAAACTCATTACCAAGTTCTTGTCTTGTTTACATCCCACAGAGGCAGTCTTAGTGCGGAAAATGAACACTGACTCAACGAATTGAATGGGCTTTGTCAAACTAGGATCCTGACAGGTTGTTTTTTTTTTTTTTTTTTTGCATCCATCAATACACAATACCAGTAAATTCCAGTATTTTTGTTAGCTTAAATAGAAAAGTTTCTACTCCGTAAAAACTAATTTTCCAGTTCTAAGACTATGTGTTTTTTAGAGCTTTTTTCCCCTTCAATTTTGTTACTAGGTAGTTAGTTCTTCCTTCCTTAATGGCTATTTAATAAGACCCAGCTGATGCTCAATGAAGTGACCAAGCAGCACCTGAAAGAGATGGGATGTAACATTCATATAAAGTGCCTGAGTACAATCATTGTTATTAAAAGGATAACCAAATGAATTCATAATGATGGGACACTCATTTCAAAGTGTTTCCATAGCTGTTACACATCAGGAAAAATAGGGAAGTTACCTCATTTTCTCCAATCCTAAATAACCTAATAAACTCACCAAAGAAATTAATTAGCCAATATTTCTTGAAAATTCATAACAAAGTTTCCATTTTTCCGTCAGATAATTCCTTAGTGCATTCTGGTTTTTAACTTCCTTCAAGTCTGGATCATTTTGATGTGTGAACAGACATTTTGTGTTTCCATGGGTTATTTCCACAGGTTCAAATATCTTATGTAATTGACATTTTCCTGCTTACAAAAGCTGTCAAACTTAAAAGTAGCAGTTGATTGATAAAACATGGGTTTTGTCTGTAACTTAACTTCATTGTTGGGGCTTAATGCTCAAGCTCTGAATAACTCCTCTCTTCAAAGTGACATGCATTCAATTTTTTATTTTTTTAATTTTTAATTTTTTTTTTTTTAAGCATCTACATTTTAAAGCTTTAAAGCAGCGATCGCTTTTTCTTTTTTTTCTAACAGGTACATCTCAACAATCAGAAGTATTACTTTTCAGAAAGGGTGGTCAGGCACTGGAATGGACTGCCCAGGGAGGTGGTGGAATCACCGAGCCTGGGGGTGTTCAAGGAAAGGCTGGATGTTGTGTTGAGGGACATGGTTTAGTGGGAGCTATTGGGAATAAGTGAACAGTTGGATTGGATGATCTTTTAGGTCTTTTCCAACCTTGGTGATTCTATGATTTGCTTCTCTTTACAATTGCTACTTTTTAGATAAGGACTGCAACTTGACTTTAAGTCCAAACTCTGTGTAACACTGATTCACAAACATTTATTCTTTCCAATCCTGACAATTAGAAACAAGAAAACAAAAAGAGCACTACATCTATGGCATTTACAGAGGACTACAGCTATACGGGCCATAAAGCAAGTGACAAAGACCATTTTTAATAACAAAAACAAGAGTTATGAAAAGAGCATTTCTTCTAGCTATGACAAATGCAGTGCAGTGTGATCCAGAGCCTGATTGGCATTTTTTTTGTTGGCTTGCTGGGCTTTGGGTCTTACTCTTGGTTGAGGACATGAACAAGTTGGCATAATTGAAACAGACATAGTAGTAGTGCAGAGGAGTGTGGGGACACGGCTATTGCCTTTGTCTCTGTGCAAACCATCCTCAATGTGATGCTTCATGATGGGCAACCATCTGTGTTTTCCACCTGAACATCATTGATTTACATTGTAAGCACTCAGCAGTGTCTTAACAGCACTTCACTGTTACTGCCCTTTATGCTCAGATAGCCAAGACAGGGATCACAGAACCCCTTCACTGCCCACAAACTTCTCGGTAATAGTGCACCCTGATTTCCTTCACATGGGGCAGAAGACCAGGAGGCAGAAGGCAGGTAACATCTGATTCAATAAAAATGCTCTGCTTTGCCCCCCCGCAGGGCATCTCGCATGGTGATGGCCTCCAACAGCCTTTCTTCCTCCTTGAGCCTGCTCTGCTCAGAGATGTCTCAAAACCACGCTGTCCCAGACTGTCTGGGCTTTAATTCTGCACCACGCAGTGCAGACTCAGAATCAAATTCAACTGTCCTGAGCAGGGTTGGATTGAAGCAAGTGCCAATTTTTTATTTTTTTTATTTTTATTTTATTTTTTTGAGTCAAGGCCCAGATACAGTAGTTTCACATGCCTTTGGCAGAAAAATGTTTTTGCTTTCTGAAGCAGTTGTTTTTTCAATGACATGACTTCCTGCAGGGGCGTTTTAATTATTGTTGGTGTATCACCTAACTTAGTTATGTATCGCTTTGAAGTTTTTCTTTGCATCTGATAGTAAGAGAATAGCAAATAAACACGGCTGTGTTTAGTCGCTTCCCCTTGCCCTGCATAGGCTTGGTGCAGCTTCTTTGGATTATGCAAGCACAAGGCAGATGGAAAAGGAGGTCCAAAGGCAAAATGCATGTACTGACACCTTTATGCTAGCAAGTGCTTTCTCTTAAGCTGACCGTATTAGCAGTCAAATGGAAGTCACACACACAAACTCCACAATGGCAGGTCAAACCCTGAAGACAGAAAATTGTTCAAGACTAAGAGCTGCACAAATGTGTTAAAGGACCGTTCCCAGGTGAGAAAAAAAAAATAAAGTCACAGATTTTGAACCAAATACATTGCAGCAAGAGTCTCTGCACTGTGGCACAGCAGCAAAATTTGCAAGTGTTTGCATATAATAGCATGAAGTGATAGCCCAGCTACCCACAAAACAGACGCAAGGAAATCTTCCTTG